GAATACCTAGGCGTCGGACCGGGTAGCGCGCTATGGGAGAAAAGTGGTTCCAAAGCGGATAGCTTGGGAGCTGAATAGTGCTGGTGACTAGTGCCTTACTTTTCCTCTGGACAAGGCCAAAATATGCCTATGACACTCATATGCGCCTAGCGCTGATATGATTGTCACAGCGTGTAAGTCATTCCCTAAGTCCATCAGTTTTTTACTTAGAGTTTCGTCCTGCAGGATCGATGTTTGAAGAGCCCATCTCCCCTTACCAACAAAGGGCATTCTCCTGTCCAATAATCTCGCTGTTATCATAAGATGGCTGTCGGGATTCCCGTTATTTCTGTATCCCATTCCTTACTGAATGGGAGGAATTCATTAGTGACATATATTCGATCAATCCTCGATTACGTCCCCCTTGTGCGGCAGATTGAGTGTAGGTATACATTAGGCTATCTGGGTTTTCATAGCGCCAACTGTCCTCCATTTTTAGATGGGCTTTGAGTTGCACAAGTGCTTTGGTTGCTCTTGAGCATCTTTTAGGAGGAGGTAAGTGGTCTGGATCATCCTCTACAGATTGAAGTCTCCTAACATTACATCTGGTTTCGGCAGTTCGGCAGTTCATTCTATATTGTTTCCCACAGTCTGCATTTTTGGTTGGATCATTTGGGGCGTACACCACTAGTATTGCTAGTTTGTTATCTTTGTGCCAGGGGACTATTACCAGCATCACTCTTCTGGCTATCAAGGTGCATTTTTTGATTTCTTTGTGTTTGTCATGTGTTTATCAATAACAACAGCTACTCCTTTGGCATTTGTTTGTCTGGGTATTGACAAGATTATTCAAAGTCTCATCTTGAAAGTTTCATTTAGCAATGTCTTGTCTTCGGGTGTCAGGTGCGTCTCTTGTAGAGCTAGGATACCTATTTTTCTCTCTTTGACTATTTGATTTATATGAAGCCATTTGTCAACACTCTCATGCCATCGCCCTCTCATATCAAGAGATGCTATTTTGACGTTCGCCCTAGTCTTTTTCTTATGGGTTTTTTTTTTGCTTGTGAACATTCGTTTGTGAATGACCTTGGGGGTCGTTATAGCCCATTGTGGGTTGTCTCGCATCATTGCGAGTGCACCCTGAGTAGGGAGGTTTGTTGAGGCCTGTGTTTGATTGAGTCGTGTGGGGGGGCATTGATTGTGGTGGCTGATGTGCCAATATCTAGCTGTGGGGGGGAAAAGTTTAGTGTTAGCGTCCATGTCGCCGTCACCATAACCCCTGGCCCTTTCATCAGGGGATCGATTGACAACGAAATCAGATCCCTCTCTGGGGCCGGGGGACCTCAAACCATTTTACCATTATTGACCATTTGTTTTGTGTTTGTAGAAGTTTTTTGCAGTTGTGACTACAGTGTTGGGACTACAACCAGAGTCTCCCGCACCGCCCAGCTTATCCAAACCCAAGAATGGGGACAATGTCTTCAGGGAGGAAAGGATACTTTAGTGAGGCTGGTAGCCGCTCCCTTGGACTTCAGCATCTCTGCACGGCACATCCAACCTAAATAGGCACCATTGAAGGTATTTTCATAGATCCAAGGCTTTCCTGTCCTACCTATATGAGTAACTTATGTACAAATAGCCAGTAAATGTGGGCCTCTTTAGATCTGGTTGATGTGATTGGCCTCATGCTATTTTGCATGAGATCTCTTGGTCCTCACACCAGAGATGCCAAAAACCAACAAGTGTTGTTTTAATCGCAAAGCTATTCAAAGTAAGTCATGATCATAATGTCACTCTACATGACCACATACATTGTACAATTAGGACGCCATCTAAGCTGCTTTGGCATATTGTCTAAGGGATTGACGGGGGCTGCTGGTTCTTATGGCTTGAAGCCGCTAAAATTTCAGGCCACCTCACCTCCTCTAAAGCTGTTTTTCCCTCTACCTCTTTGTCCTTGGCCTCTATTGTTTCCACCCCTAGAGTTCGGGTGTTTAGACGAGTTATTCTTCCCGGGGGAGAGTGCGTCAAGGGTTGTCATCAATAAGTCTTCTTTTGGGGTGACATTCGAAGGTCCCAACCAGCCAGGGGTATTCAGCAAGGGGCAGAGACTGGTTGGACGGTTGAGGGACTTGCACCCGAGGCACATGAATTGCTTTTCTTGTAAGCGCTGTCCTGCATGATTTGGGAATCATGCATGGACATGACTACTAGGTATCCCCCTAAAAGACAAAGTCTGTTAGCTTAGTCCTCAGACTAGTCAACCCATACCTTGGTATCAAACCTTGGTCCAATAGTTTCAGTTTTCCCTCAGTGATTCATGAATCTACCGTGTTTTGAAGAAAAAGTCAGATGTGAGATGGGAATCACATAATGACCTAGTTGATATGAGAAGCAAATTTAAGGTTAAGGTAATGCCTTTCCTTTGGCTTATTCACTTTGGCTAGAGAAACCCATAGAGAAAAGTTCAAAGCCTAACAAAAACCTATCTAAAAGGCCTGCGTATTGTGTACTATTATTTGTTCCATTATTTCTGAGTAGTTTTCTCTAGTGTTTCTTTACTTTACTTTTCTATTAGGATGCTCTGACTAATCAGATGCTTCGTAAAATTTTACCTACAGGGTATGATGTCATAATGATGTCATAGGACTTCACACACACTCCTGCAGGTATTCTGTTGAAAGATATGATATCATAGTGATGTCATAATGATGTCATCAATTCCAGAATGTGCCATGGAATTTGCTAGAACATTCCAATGACTCATAATGACTCATAATAATGTCATTATCCTACCATGAATATTCTGGAATGTTTTTTGCACCTGCTAGAACATTCTGCTCCAGTTTTTGGAATACTCTTCTCACATTCTGAAGTCATTACATCACCTTTTTACTTACATAATATTCCCACACAAAATGTATATAAGGAGAGCCCATTCTCCCCCCCCAAAAAAAATAGAATCTCCCACTTGAACCAATTGAACTCTCACCTAAGAAGCTTCAGACTGAACAGATTGCTGCTTAGAAAGCACATTTCCTTTCTAAGTACTGTCCAGACAAGTGCAGGGACAGTTATTTCCCTTGAGATTACATAAGTTTCTCACGATAGAAACTCAGTTTTGTGAGACCAGCATTCTCACCATGTATCATTACTGACCAACACGAGCTTTGGTCCATCGTTGTCATTTGCGAGACCAGTGTTCTCACCAGGTATTTGTATATTGACCAACACAAGCTTTGGTCATTGTAGTCACATTTGAGACCAGCTTCTCAACAGTTTGTGAGACCAGTTCTCACCAGTTTATCGTATATTCAAGAAACCAGTTTAAGTGTCTAGACGGTATATCCTAGACAAACCCATAGTTTCAGTCAGAGATAATAAAGCTCCAGCTAAGTTAATCTAATTGATTGGTTTAGCGAGCCTCCCAAGAACTCACACATTATCTACCACGAAAGAGAAAAGTTGTAGATCGTTGTGGAAAGAGAAATAGCGACTAGGCTGTTAGAAAACTAGCGCTACTTATCCAAATAGGCGTGAGTGTAGTATTTGACCCAAGAGGACTGCTATTGAAGCAACTCCCTACTAATAAGCAAGGGAAGCAATAGCGTGAAGGGCTAAAAAACCTATAGCGACCTAAGACCAAAAACTAATGAAGTAGCGCTGTAGCAATAAGCTACAAGTGAGTTCCGAAAGAGAAATGTGCGCATAAGTGAAAGGCGCTATGCAAGTTGTTTTATGTGATAGCGCTATGCGACGTCTGACTAGCGACAGCGAGAAGAAATCAAAGGGAGTGAGAGCGGAAGTAAGATAAGACAGTGCAAGTGAAATGCCTGGTAGCGACTACATTGTAGCGCAACTACCGATAGTGATCCCGATGTTGCGAAAGTCAAACTTATGAGGGAACTTTAGCGACATGCACTTTAAAAACAAGTCAAGCGACACACGATCAGAGAGAGTGGAATCGATTGCATCAAGACTAAGATATAGTGACTAAAGTGACTCTGACACCAGCAAAGGTCCGGGGAAGGGAAGTAAAGTACTGTATGTGCAACGGGTCATTTTATCATACTGTGTAGGGTTCGGAAATGCGTAGGCGAGAATAGTAGCAACCACTGGCAAGGGCACGATGTAGCAACAGGTAATAGAACATGCAGTGCTGCGGAACACAAGGATACATGTAATAAGACCTGCGACTGATCAGTAGCAACATTTAAGGACTAATAATGCACCAGTGGAGGTAGGTGGACATAGGCAGGACATGGGAGGACGGAATACCTAGGTGTCGGACCAGGTAGTGCGCTATGGGAGAAAAGTGGTTCCAAAACGGATAGCTTAGAAATTAAATAGCGCTGGTGACTAGCACTTTACTCTTTTCCTCTAGGCAAGGCAAAATATGCCTATGACACTCATACGCACCTAGCGCTGGTATGATTGTCACACCATGTTAATCGAGGACTGGCAAGAAGTCTTATCAAGTGTAATTGTGGTGTCATTACATTCTTACACATATTTAAATAAGACCCTCGGTTATCAAGACAACGCGCAGCAGCAACAGCAACAACAGTGGCAGCAGCTGCCTTCTCTCCAAGATCAAAGGAGAGCTTTCATTGCCTAATTTGGATATCAATCCCACGATTCCGCAATTCCCCGCAAACCAACTTCTGCCCACAGCGCATGTTGCTGTGTATCCTGATTGTCGGCACATCTTCAGACTAAAGTAGTCAAAATCCTCAACAACCAACTTAATGTTATCTACCTCCGTTAATTTATCCAAGTCCTATCGTGAGACCGAAGATCATCATCTACAGCATGTATCTATAATTGTCTCCAAGTTTCCGTGGCCTTTGGCGCCAATATATCAACACCCCAGCCCAGTCATCATTAATATTAGGGTCACCTTTCAGTGGCGTTTGAAGGGTGAGGTTTGCCAAGGAGGCGTTCATCACCAGCAATGCCTGATGCAGAGGGGTTGGTGTGGTGTAACCAATCAGTATGTGCTTATTGGTCGATGATTATGTCCACCGGGTGCCACACTCACGTCACCAATAATACTTTTGATTGCGCCTAGACGAGCACTCCATCTCACCTATGTGCTGCATGCGAGGCCTCGAAGTTGCACATGTTTGCACATTTTTTCATTCCAGTACTGGGGCGAAGTGTATCCCTGCGCTGTGATCTGTTAGTTCAAAAAAGTCGGCGACACCACAGACAAGGACACAGGAATGTGGATAGTTTGTCCAGAATATAGAGCAAACAATACCCTGGAGCATGCCGTCATTCACATTGATGCTATCTATCGTGCTGCCCATCTTATTCCTGTGTATGGCACAGAATTCCTGCCGCAGGAGCTCAAGTTTTATCATTCCTATGACGTATTTCAGACTTACTATGTCAATAAATATGCTGACCATCATGCCTTTGAGATTGCATTTTGACTTACTTTGTATATAGCTACTTGTTTGCCATTTGAATTTAAGACTCTCTTGATCCGTATTTTTTCTCCTTTGCATGGTTAAATCAATTGAAGACGCTTTGGCGCCTTTGAAAATTTTCAGAAAGATCAAGGTATCACTCCTTTTATTAATTTTCACGCCTTGGCGCCAGTGTCAAGGCGGGCAAAGTGGCATAATGGCAGAAAATAGACTCGAGGTTTTACTGATGTGATCCAAAATAGTCCGGCCATATAAACCCTTATCTAATATTGGCATTTATCTAGATATTATTGTTGAGATGATCTGTCAGAGCACCCAACCTGGTGTCATTCTAATATCATGTCTGTCACTGTATATATTCCCCCTGTCATTGCACATCACTCACCTAGTTACAATTATTTTCTCTCTCTTGACTTAAGGCAGCCAGAAGCCTTCGTCGCACCTCAGTCTCTTTACCATTGACTGAGGTGTGTACGCTCTTGTTCTTCCTGTTGATAACATCCTCATTAGCTTACCTGTAGGCTTGCACTATCTTAGGTTCGTACATTAGGAATATGGTCTCTTTACCATTGACTGAGGCTCACGCTATCTTAGCACTACCCTTTAACAATTATGAAGGAAGAAAATCCTGTCAAAGCTTACAAGTTGTGACCAGGACAAGGCAGACTTGTAGTGGACTGCAAGTGTGCTGGCATTAATACTCAAATTGGAGACCATGGAGACTCTCATTAACTTTGCGGCAGCTGGCAGATGTTACAAAATATACCACCTCGATGACAGGCTGGCAGGTATTTGCAATAAGACTATCAAGAATGCACATTTGGCCATTTCCATCCTATGTAGTCTGGGTATTTAAAGCTTTATAATGTGAAGTACAATAATGACACATATTGTACATATTGTAGATCAGATAAAGCATTGTATGAGTTTATCATTTTCGTGTCGGTTACCTGATGAGAAGAGAGCTTCGTCTCCCGAGGTGCCTGTGCCCAAGGTAAGTAAAGGCAAGGTGCCCAAGAGGGCTAAGGGACGAAATGAGATGGTAGGGAAGCCTGGTATCATCGAGTCCTCAGATGATGAAATGCCTGGGGATGCTGTGAAAAACACAACCTGACTAGGCACTTGTTAAGGTACTCAGCCAGTATATGTCTAATGCTCTGCCTATGCTGCTATACTTGCAACAAAGATGCAAGAACGTTTGACCTGAGGGAAAAGCTACTAAGAACAACTTAAGATCAAAAGACCCAAAAGAGCGCTAGAGCGCGGGAATAGCGCATCGCAAGATAGAGCGCTAATTGCGTGGGAAAGAGCGGAAGTCAGGAAAGCGGACACTGAGTCAAAGGAGGGTAATGGATAGCGAGTGAGATCAGAGGTATTGATTGCAAGGGTAAGGAAAGTCAAATAGGGGCCATAGAGTGCAACTAAAGGGGTGACTACTTCTAAGTAAAACCTAAGGGAAGGAGATACAGTCGAAGGGAAGTAATGTCAAAGTAGTCACCATAGGCTTCTTATACTAGTAAACTATACCATCTCGGACTCGGAAGGGATAGGATATACATGTAATAAGACTGTAGCACTTTTTACAAACTCGAGGCAAGGCAAATTACATACCAATGAGGTAGGATGGACCATGGATGGATTCCGACATTTCGGGTGATTCCTAGAGCGCGAGAACAGCGCGTTGGACTAGCGCTAGGCGCGGGAACAAGCACTAGGTAGAGCGGACATGCACTAATGCTCCTATAGACACATTGCTGGTAGTTCTGATAGCGCTATAAGCGCGGGAATAGTGTCGGATAAATCGCGGGAGCATGAATAGCGCTGTGGGAATGTGCGCACATAGTGCGGGAAAGTGCGGAATAGTGTTGGACAAGGGTTATGGCTGAGACAAGTGAAGACTGCTGATAGGGGAGTAGTGAATGATATGAGGGATAACTTTGGTCCACCTATTGGAGGTTTATGCAGGTATACATGACTAGCGCCAATATGATTGTCACAGCGCGCTTCCGAATATTCATCTTGAGATCACATGCAATAAGAAGTACACGGACAAAGTCAAGATTGACTCCATCGAGCTTGGGAAACCTGTCATGTACATTTAGAGAAGAATACAGTGCTTCAACTTTGGCCATGAGCTGATCATGGCCCCTCTGTAGGCTCTCGAGGACGTCAAGGGTATCACTGGATGCTGCATCCTTCTCTAGCGTAGTCCTTGTAGCCTGCAAGGCTTGATCAGAGGCATCCAAATCGGATTGTAGAGCCAGGACAGTGTCGAGTTCTTTTCGGAGGTGAGCAGGAGCATCTGAGGACAAATTTAACATAAGTACTCGTTGTGTGCATATTGAGTGGTTACTCACGAGCGTGAATTGAGAGTTGCAATTGTTGCTGGTCAGTCCACTGAGCCTGTAGATCCTCCACAGATATTTCACAGCGGTTGATAGCATCGAGTGCCACAGAACCCTGGTCCTTGATGCCCCACTTCAGACGGTGTTTAATCCAGTCACCAAGGTCATCCTTCATCTCTGTCATATACCATATTCCTGGGTACAGATCCGAAGATCCGGATCTCAGATCTGATCCAGATCCAATGGACATATCCGTCGTCTGGTCCACAGATCCGATCTAATCCTTGTTTCATGTCCTGTTCATATAACTCTAACTATCGTTCATCTCCTTTCGGCATTCCTGTACACCAGTATACCGGTTATCCTTTACTTCCGTTATGCTTACTGATCCGCTACACTTACTGATCCGCTTTAGCTTAGACTTCATTCCCGGTTATGATACGTTATCCATCCAACTTACCAGTACGCTGTACACATACTTTGCTTATACTTCGTACATAGCCTCGCACCATTGCTGATTGATCATTCCGTTAGTTATCTGTAGTATATACACCCTTGTACATGCACTGTAGTAGATCAGTTTGAATATCATCTTAGATTGCACTCATTCTGTCTGGACTCTGAGTCCCTCCATTATCCGTCCGGACTTGAGTACGATACTCTTGTCTACTCTGAGACTTAGGATTGATTCCTATAGTCTATATATCTGCCTCTGTCTTCAGACAGTCTTCACCCATTAGTTTCTAGTTCGGATCCGATCCGGATTAGCCGTTACTATATATGTTCGATATCTGGAAGCCTTAATGGATCTGTTACGATACTTATCCGTCTCACTAGACGCAATACTCTAGCACTCTGAAATAAGGGGCAAGACTCGGGAAAGGGGCACAGTGCACGAGCTGAGGCCGAAGCCCTTCGGATCCGATACTACTTGAGTACGGTCTTAACAGTATATTCAAACTCATACCTTTCCGAGTTACTTACACCTATCATGCCTCCAACCAAGACACAAACAACTCTGCACGCGGTCGGACTTACCTCCCTCCGTCGTGATCCGACACCCATAGTCAACACCTTCACCAGTTTCTCTCAGCGATGTGTTAGTCGCGGACCCGCTCAAACCATATCCGAACTCCTTAATCGTCGACACCTGGAAACCCCTACGCGCACTCCTGCCGCAGGACCTCCGGACGATGATGATGATCCTGATGATGGTGATGATGATTTCCCTGGTAATCCACCCGATGATAATGGTGGTGATCCGGACGATGATCCGGATGATGATGACGATGAAAACGATGGCCTAAACCCACAGGACCGCAGTTATGCTTCAACTATCAGAAGCCATCGATAACCTTGCTCACAAGTAATCGTTGCGCACCCGCATCCGAAGATTCCAAAGTCAAGGTCCGCGAACCGGATACCTTTGACGGATCCGAACCATGGAAGCTACGTGCGTTCTTCGTCCAGTGTGAGCTTAACTTCCAGAGCAAGCCTAAGGCTTTCCGTACCTGGAAGGGCTAAAGTCAACTTCACCCAATCCTACCTTAAGGGTATGGCTCTTGAATGGTTTGAACCGGATCTCCTGTCCGATGATTTGGATGATCGTCTGGATTGGATGAGCGACTATTCCGCGTTCATGCTTGAACTCCAAACCAATTTCGGACCTCACGACCCATCCGGTGATGCAGAAATGCAGCTCGAACAGCTCCACATGCGTGACGGACAGCGCATCAACAAGTATGTTGTGGAATTCCAGCGTCTTGCTTCGCAGGTCCGTGGCTGGGGCGACGGAGCCTTACGACGCCAGTTCTATAACGGACTTCCGGCCCACTATCAAGGATGAAATCAGTCGCATGGGTAAACCCTCTACTCTTTCCGAATACAAAACCCTCGCTCAGACTATCGACTGCCCGATACTGGGAACGGAAGGGAGAGATCTCCCGAGAGACTAAACCCGCTTCATCTCACTACCCCTAAGCAATCCGCTTCTGACCGGACCAACGCCAATGCGTCCGGATCCGGAAATAACAAATCTGGAAACTCCAACTCCAATAATCAGAAATCTGCAAAGCCATCCGCGTCCTCGAGCTCATCCGCTCCTAGGGTTCCAGACCTTAATTCCAAGCTGGGTAAGGACGAAAGTTAACAGTCCGAAGAGCGGCAGAGAAGATTGGACAAGAAACTCTGCTTGTTCTGTGGCGGACCCGGCCATACGGCTCGGGAATGCAATAAGTCTACTTCGCGCGCTGCCAAGGGCCGCAGCTGCAGTAGTCAGCTCCGGAAGTCAAACCGGAGGTCTCTACTGAGACAAAAAAATAGTCCGCGACCCTCCTAGCTCCATGCAGGAAGAGGGTCGCGTTGACTCTGCCTGCACAAAGGAGTTAAGACTCAACTGCTGTCGCGCTCTCGGATCCGACTTCCCTCTGTCCATATGTTTCACTTCCGTCACTCCCATCCATATCCTGATTTTCCAGCTCTTGTAGATTGTGGTTCTTCTCATTGTTTCATAGACACTGCGTTCGTCCGAAAACATAAAATCCCTACATATCCGATATCCTCGATTCCGCTCCGCTTGTTTGATGGTACTTGTAATAATACTATTTCCGAAGCTATAGATTTGTCCGTCCATTTTCCTGTCCGGTGTAGTCACCTCCG